TACACAAACTCATCATAGACAGCAGAAAATCTAAAGCTAGCACCAATGTTGAATAGTGTGTTAAAACCTGATCAAATGATTTATATTACATGTTTTCCCGGTGGCTCCTCTCTCATGCACAGGAAAATTAAGTTTGAAATGAAATTTGACACATTAATTACCGGTATGTGAGAGCTTATTGGATGGGGGAAAAAGCAGGAAGCCACAGTAGCCAACTAATCATTCAACATTCTGTAAAGCAGCGGAGGTAACCAGATTGTCCCAGATCTCTCTTTTCTTCTTTTCTTTACGGTGTACATCACGTGCTTTAACTTTGAGCTGAACACAACAACAAAGTGAGAAACAATTATCCTTTATGAATCACTAAGATACAAATGAAATGACCTAAGATGCACAGCAAGTTTTGAAGCATTCTAATTTTTGTTGTTGCTCAGATAATAATATGTAGAACGTTTGAAATGTGATGGGGCAATTGACTCAAAGACTGTCCTATGAACATAAGTGGGCTTTTCATTTGTGCTTCCCTATTCAACGAAATCAATAAAAATCAACATGGGTGAAAAATAATCTTATGAATATTATATAACTTATGTGAGTGGACCCTTCACAGCAGCCACAAACAGGAAATCCATTAGTAAATCTAGAGCGTATAAAAGTCTGCACATTTCTGGGGGCGTATTCTTTTGACAGATTAAGGTGTAAGGATTTTAGTATCATGAAATATACATTGTCTGCTAACACGTGAAGGCTGTGCGTTGACACGGCCACGCATGGCTTAGTGGCAGTGAATCACTATTTATTGATGTGACAGAGGCAGCTGGGAAGATGGAGATATATTACCTGCTCAGAAACAGCCACGACATTTCACAGTGGAAGAAAATAAAACACATTCCTAAAGCAACAAACACGTTTCTGAACATAAAAAATGAGAAATGTTTGCTATAACACTGGCGACGGTCTTATCTAAACCTGATCTGGCAGTGTTTCGCTCGCTGAAGGCAAAGCTAAAGATATAAAGACCCATAAAGAAACGAGTGGAAGCAGCCACAGTGAAGCTGTGGAGCATCGCAAAAGCAAAGCTCCTGCATTCTCTTTTCTTTTGGTCGTGTCCGTTGTCCCATTTGAAAAGCTGTTCAAATCAACCGCCCCCTTCAATTCTGATGTTGATATTCTCAAATCAAAGCTGACAGTTTGCATTTTTAGCAGATGTTCATTACACAGCTCTGAAATGAACATGGTTTAACCAACAAACACATCTTCTTGTCAGAGTTCAAATATCAGTGCTTCCTAACTTGTGACCACGTCTTCATCATCTCCTCCATCCAAACCCGGAGACATAAGTGCCACCCTCTGCTACTGGTGTTTTCTGTTGCATCCCCTGAGAGCAGGGCGTCTTTAATGATAAGACACCCGTACAGCTGGTAAGCTAAATGAGGCCTCCTTTCAACTCAAGCCAAGAGTGAAGAGAATAGACACTGCAGGGACATGAAACACAGCACTTTTTTCTCTTCACACAGCTGAGTCTTACCTCACTTCCAATCTCCCCGTGCTGTAATTGCATGACTGTGGCTCCATCTCCTCTCTGCTTTCCATCGCTCTAGCTCACCACCCCACACAATCCCCGAGCAGGATTCATGACCGGCTGTTGAGCTACAGTAATTAGAGCAGGCTGATATAGACAGAGGACACAGCGTCCCCCTAATGCTCCTGTTTCCTCCACCTGGGCAGATATTTTTAGCCCACCTTGAATGAGGAAGAACAAGCGTCAACATGGAAGCGTGGCAGGGTGCTAGCATGTGAAACCATAACTCAATTAGGCCTAATTTGGGTCCAAACCCACCACAACAGGCAGCTTATTCTTCGCTTTCCATGTGACCAGAGCAGAGGGGAGGATGTCTGGTGGCCCTGTTGAATTTACTCCCTCCTCGTCTATATTTTGTCATAGCTCCAGAACACTGATAACTCATTTAACCACAGAGTCATTCCACCCAGTCTTATAAAACATAAACACTCCCCTTCCGCTGTTTATATGCAGGCACGTTTGCAAAAAGGCCCCCTTTGGACCGCAACCTCTCATGACTTTCACTATGCCTGCATACAGCCTCCTTTGCATATCAAGCTCCCAGTGGGCTTTAGTAAAACACCGCCATTTAATCCATGAGATGCATATCTCTCTTCCAGCCGCCAGACACACACTCAGGGAAGCTCGAGTCCCAGCCTCGGCCACCCTGCCACACAGCTTATCTTCAAACACAGCGAACTCTCACTTCAGGAAGCATGCGGGAGTTTTCTTTGATAATAAATCAGATGTTAGCTTTCTCATTTTAATAGCTCAAACCCATGCCAGTAAATAAAAACATCAGTCAACGCGAAGGAAATTGTGTTTTTTCCTTTTTCCGCTATGCCTTCAGTGAACAAAACCTTAACCCACACACTGCGTGTCCTCATCATACTTCTGTGAGGGCTTCGCTCCAGCTTGTTGACCTCATTTGGACAGCACACTGATATACAAGTTCAGGCTCTTCCCACGCCAGTCCACAGGCCATATATTGTCAAGGTAATTACCTTTGGAGAATGGATGCCTTTCTAATGTCTCCCCATTTACTACATCCAGCACAGCCCGCTGTGTGCTCTGTCTCCTCCGTGCCATACCTCATAGAACATGACCGTGGATTCAATACAGGCGCAGACAATGGCACATTTAAAAAAGCCAGCAGGCAAAACAGGAAGGTCAGCAGGGAGGGCCTGCATGGCCGCTCTGAGCAGTGTTGTTGCAGCTGAGGCACTGCTGGCCATTAAGCTGTAAAGACAGGCCAGGCAGCAGACAACTTGCCAATCTTGTGTTTAGCTGGAAGACACCGAAAAATCCAGGCTCTAATTAGGCAAAAAAAAGTTGGGTGTTTGTTTATCTCTTCTTCCTGTAATTTCTCCGCTCTAGAGGGGAGTCAGAGCCAGGTGTTCCACAGCTGTAGCTTCTCAGGGTAGACCGTCAAGGGCCAGCGTGTACCTCTGTGTTTGAGCTTCTTAGAGAACGTCTTTGAGGAAGCAGTAACTCATTTTGAAATACAGAGTTTAATGAGAAAATCCACATCAATATGCAGTTCAAATAATTGCAAGTGCACGCAGAGCAGATGGCTAGCTTTAGCAGATAGTCTGGCAATAATACGGCGCTTTACAGGTGACAGGCTTTTTCTGTGCAGGAGTCGGTTGCCTGGCAACCAGCCTCCAAGAAGCCAGAAGTGCTGGAAAATTGAGTTATCAATGTTGGGTAGACCAAAGCTAGCTGCATCTCTCCGTTTAAAGCAGACTTTTCACATTGGATTAGCCAGTGGAGCTTAAAGCCGGGAAGGATGTCACATTCCAGTGGATCATGTTCTAGCTACAAGTCAGAAAGATTTCCTCCTTCCCACTCACCACTTTGCTGATGATTATTAACTGTACTAACTAATAAAACAGCATAATGTTCTATTTTGATTGTAGAAATATGGTAGGATTTTTTTCCTGAGATGCCTGAAAGTACTGTGTTATTGTTTCATTTAATAAGGAACTAAAAGTGCAGCTAAAATAGTTATTTATGTTAGAGTCTGAGAACTCAGACATTCAAACTTCCAAGTTAAAAAAGAACTCACTAATTGTACCTGTTAAGCAAAGATGGGCTTCTCTAGTCTAATAATTAGGATTCATTCTTTTCACATATTCCTAGAGACTAATATAAAGGCATTGTCTAGAGCTATCCTCTCCCACACACAGCACACCACTGGAAATGATATGCATGAAATGCCTTCCCACCACTAGGAAAGCTCCATTTGCTTAAGTGAAAGGTGGCAAACCAGCACAACATTCATCAGGGAAGCTAAAATACTTCCAGAGTCATCCAGAAATCGGCAGACAAAACCCAAGCTGCAAAAGTACGCTCTACTGCAGCAGGAGTTCGATCACATATTTGAGAAAACACAGAGCCATGGCATCCATGGGAATGTCAGTTACAACAATCCATGACGTTAAGTTCCCCTTCTTTCGAATGTTTTGATAATTTGGTGCTGCTCTTTCATCAGTTTCAAATCAACAAGAGATGGCAAACTGATCCTGAACCAGTTTTTTTTAAAACTGGACAAAATTAAAGGATTTTACAAGACTATAACTTCCTACAGTCAAAACAAATTGCTTACAAACAACATATATCAAAGATAATCTAGAGGCAAAAATGAGTATAAATATCACCATACTTCCTGTTGGAGCTGGTCCTTGTGTCTGAGGGCATGCTGCCTCTGTGTTTGCTCAAAGGCTGGACTACTTAGTGCTGCGGTGTGAGAGTCAGAGGGGGGGCATTCTCACCGGGCCCTGAGCTCACAGGCAAACACATGCTCTGCGAATGACCACCCAAACATCGGAGCAGCTGCCAGTTGGCGGAGCGTTTTGCAGCCAAACATCCTACAATATTGATGAAGAAGGCCGTTAAACACCACGGAGAGCAGGGGGATGCACACAACCCCACTGCAGCCCCCCCCCCCAGTCAGTCTCACAGTTGCCTGTCTCTCCTCTCTCATCTCTGTCCTCTTGAACTTCCAAAAAATAAGAAAATCTGTGCAGTAAATTGTGGTTTATTCAAGTAGGCTACTGGGTGAGGGAAAAGTAACTTTTCCTGTGACTCAGAGGAGCAATTACTTTAATGATACTGTCTGATAAGGCACACAAAGACGTTTTTCCCCCCCTGTTGCACTCTCCCTGTAATGCGCACAATGTTCACGGTGGAAGATAAAGGGCCAAATGGCCTCAGGACTCAGTGAGGAGTTTGTAAGGCTCAGCTTCCCCACGAGACGCTGTTATCTTGATGCATTCCGACCTTTCCCAGATGTGTCCGGCTCTGAGCTGGTGCGTGCCTTACAGATCAGCTCCAGTTTGCGCCGTTCCGTTACAAAGAGTTAAATCCTAGAGTCGAGACTACCCGTTTGGTGGCCGTGTGCAGGCGGGAGCCGCAAGTTGTAAAACATGGAACTTACCTCCGCGTTAGAGAGAGCCCCGGCCAGCAGAAGGAGCGCGGCCACACTTCGCAACATCTGGAAACAAAAAGAGAAAGTGCCGTGTGATGAGAGCGGCTGACCAGATGACCGATCTGTTTGGCGACATGGACAACTTGTGGAAATGTTACTTTTCGTACGGTTTGGTCTAAAGCGGCGGCTCCACTCGGCAGAAGGGGAGCTGGGCTGAGGTTCTGCGTCCGGATGGAGCTGAGGGTCTTGGATTTGTTGAAATTTGAGGAGCGCTGAGGAATTCCGTCCAGTCCGTCCGTCTCCCCTCCTCCTTTCTCCTTCTCCTCTCGGCCAATGAAAACGCGCGCAGTCCTCCGAGGACATTCTCAGCCGGGCGGAGGAAGAGGAGGAGGAGGAGGAGGAGGAGGAGGAGGAGGAGGAGGAGAAAGTGTACGCCGTGTCTACTTCGTGTGGAAATTCAGAGCTTTGTGTTCACCACCATATTAATCCATGTTACCTGACCCTGGAGCATTCGACCTTTATCTTCCACTCCAAACGCCTACGACTGAACCCAAATGCCAACAACTTCCTTTTAGTCTTTTAAACAGATTGTGTATAATAGATAAAAGGAGCTCCGTTGTCTAATAAATGAATGATGGTACTTTAACCTGCGTGCCATGGCCAGCAGGGGGCGACTGTCATACAAAAAGTTTGATTATGGCCCAGTCCAGGAAAACGGAAAGTCAGAAAGTGATGTCATGTGTCGTCTTCATCACCATCCACACATGCAGTCTGGGTCATGCAGCATGCCTCATAATGTTTGGTAAACAGAAGTCTCACTTTGCTAAAACATTTAGTTCATTCTGACCAGGTGACCAACATAATTTCATGAACCAGTCGAGTGGTCCTTTTTTTGTCAGAAAAAGCCACTCAAAACACCTAAGGACACCTTTAATGGGCACGTGCATCAGTGTTGATAAGATTATACACAGCATGATTTTCAAATAGGACTTTTACATAGTAAGAACATTAAAGGTATTGTTTTTTACTTACTGTGGTTACTGAATTATGTTTAACATTTCAATACAGCCCTTTAATGGCCCGGACCAGTCCAGGGTGTACCCTGGGGCTGCCTCTGACCCACTGACCGCTGGGCTGCCCTGCAGGTCCCTGCTGATACGCAGCCACAGCAGTCCCCTTATTTTGCTCATCTATGGCACAATTTTCAACTGCTTCAAGCTTAGCCCGAAGATTAAAAAAACTGACCAGGGTGACCAAAGATAAAATCAAGAGATCAACAAACGCAACGTCTTGGAGGTTCTCTCACACACGAGGTGGCCTATTTCTCTCCACAAGTAACCAAAATCTTGTGTCAGTCTACAATTGTGTTATTGTTTAAGAGTTGCTCTGTGTTACCTTTTTAACGTGTCACCAGTGCAATGAGCAGAGAAATCTATAATGCCAGATCCTTTGTGTTCAATTTCTACATTTGAACTATAAATGTATTCATATTTTATGATCAAACAAGAGTGATGCAAGAAGTAGGATGGGTTGTTGTATCCTGCATCTATCGGTAATGTGCACAAATAGACGATCCAAAAAAATCCAATTTCTCCTTTTATTTCTTAGTACCTTTGGCTTTGTTCAGACATCACGTTTCAGCTTCAACTCCGTTGCAGCTTCTTCGACACACAACCTTCAACATGTCCTCACCCAACAGGATATTTCTCTATATGCAAAGATGTCCTTTGCAGAAGGATTTTTATTTTTGCATCATACCGAAAGATTAATGTTAAAAGGTTCAAAGAATGTTTCAATGTTTCAGGAAAACATCCCATTCCTGGATGGTGTACGCCTCACCGATGAGTAATTAGAATAATTAGGAAAGACGGTCTAAGCCACTGAGCACAGCAGTGCACTGAATTTTGAATATAAAGAGAGAGGATGAATGATTTCCCCCGTTGCAAACCATCAATTATAATACAACCTCAAGCCTTCTCAGCAATGCTAGCTTTTTAAACAGATGCTGTGATTATTTTACACCTAGAGGCTTTTAGCATTTGCATGTTTGGTATGTGGGGGTGCCATACATGGAATGATGCCAATTTAAAATGTTAAATGCATAAATGATGTAAAAGAAAACCCAATAGACCGTTTCCTTTTTTCAATGCTGACATTGATTTTAGTGGTGTGGTGTGGTGTGATTGGGAACCCACTGCAAGATGGTTTCCAAGCTTTGGGGGACCACATACTCCCTTCGGCTATTCTGTTTTTTTCCTGACATCCCAAAACATGCATGTTAGGTTAAGAGAAGAATCCAAATTTCCCTTTGGAGATAATGTGTAATGGTAAAAATAATGGATGGATGGGCATCACACCTACAAACCAGGGCAGACCAACCACTTTTTAGAGAAAACATTACACTTCTCACTTGCTTTTCAACTAATCCTAAATCTTTGATCTCTTTTCGTGGCTAGATATAAAAATACACTTAGTTTACCCAAACCAAAACAGATGTCTTTCTGAAAGAGATCTGTTTTGATGGCAGATTAGATCCCTCAAGTGATTACCTGAGCCGGTGTCAGATGGGTCCCAGTACTTCAACTTTGAAAACTTAATCAGACTACCTGGGGGCGTGGTGTTAGAAAGAGCTGAGCTTACCACAGCTTTGTCATCCACTCCCCTCGTCTCTGCTTGAGGCAGCGTGGATTCAACATCTTGTCTGCTAAACTGCCGGCTGTGTAAAATGTGGGTTGAGTGAACATTTATTAAAAATTTCTAAATACAACTTTAATACAACCTATGGAAATCTTCTCATCCTTGTTGTACTGAAAGACTTAGTTTAAAAACCTCAGATCAAGTTGAAGTGATGAGACATATTTGTCATTGCATGATGCATGATGCTGACCCAGTTGAAGATTTAGTCATGATTGACATTTGACCGTATGAAATGAGGAAACCATTTTAGGGAAGAAACAGAAACCAAGCAACACTGACAAAACATTTTTTTTTAACTGCTTTCATACTGCTATTAAAGATCATATCAACGTCAGTTTTGAATACAAATGCAGTGAGAGCATGTTAGAAAGGAGATATAATCATCAAGCTCAGATGAGGACATTACATTTTAGCCTCTTTCAACTTTGGCCTATTGGCCTCAGGGAACACACTATCAGACGCTAATGTTTGAAATCTAAAATAAAATGGTTTAACAGGTCTTTGTTGCGAAGTGAAAAAATTATAATTGGGTCATTTCAACATTCAGTACCAAATTGTAAAGAAAACTTTTCAATACATAAACACATATTCTAAATACAAACCGTCCATATATGAGGTAAAACTACCTGCACCATGACAAAACCGAGTTATTAAACATGTAAACTCCTACTAATCCCATAAATGTTGAAGAAAGCAAAAATGCGCACCAAATACAAGTTTGCATATCTGGAGGTTAAAGGGATTTTTTACAAACGAGGGCCAATGCATTATTCATGACTGGTCACAGTGTAACCGGCAGTGGATGAGGGAGAGCACGCCCTCACATAGAAGAAGAAGACGGCTTCCTGATAGTTTAGCTGCAGTAGGCCCACCAAGAGCTGCCCAAAGGAAGACCAAAGTGTATCTTAGCCCTCTCACTATTTAGACTATTTATCTATTTATGTATTTATCGATTCATTTTTTTTAAATAAAATAAAAAACTAAATATATATATTTTTTTTTTCTTTAAAAATTGGCGCATGTCTTGCATTTTTTCTGTTATAGGAAACTGTTACCAAGATGCTTAAAGATAAAGTATAGCACATTTCCAAAGACTTGTTAAGAGAGAGGTGGTGTGGGAGGGTGGTGTTACACCACAAACTGTCATACAAGACAGCTCAGTGCAAGCCCCATCTGACCTAAAACTGTCAAAGGACTTAGATTTCGATGTATCTTACATATGGACAAATCTGTATGAACAATCTGTATTTATAGAGTGCTTTTCAAGACCACTAGACCAATTAAATCACTTTAGATTACAAACATACAGTATTACACCCATTCAGACACGCATACAACATTCTATAATAAACAATTCCTTCATTTGTGTAATACTACCCTATACAAAAAGCTAACAAAGTAAAAATATATAATTTCTGTACCTACATTGTAAAATTTCTATGTTTAGAGCAAATTGATAATTGTACCTGGTGACTGGGCTGTCTGGGGGTCTTTCCTCTGTGAGGGGGCAATAGACTTATGCAAATCTCGGCCCGGGGGTCCATGGGTTTATCAACCCACAGCAAAGACCTGAATGCTTACATTGAGATCTTATCTAAATGTCTTACTTCTAACCACGCTGGAAACATAAAACCCCAGCCCTGATCTCTTCAGTTGTTGTGGGTTTTACCATTTCAGCAACATTCTCAAAAGTAATTAGCTGCCTGTAAACAGAGTCTTCAGAAGGTAGGATTGTGAGAAAAAGCAACATAATAATTCATGCTGCAGCTGGCATCTTTGTAACCAACAGCTTTACATTTTTCAAGTTATTTACAACCACTTCAACACATAGATAAATAAATACAGTAGATAACACACTTATCCACACACATTCTCCAATGCGCAATCATCTTAACTAACAGAGACAAGAGTCATTTTACTGCACCATCTGAGTTAATCCCAAATTATTGTACTCTCTTCTCATGCTGAGATTCGTTGCAGTTTTCTCTCTCTATGTATGTCAAAGCTATTAGTGTAAAAAATATAATAACGTTTCTTCTACACCTGATTTAAATTCATGCATGACAGACATGTTTATGAGCAAATTGTGCAGAATTCATAAAAGAGGACAGATATACAGTAGCTGCTTCAGATGTCTCTGTGTGTTCTGCCAGGGGCTTTCTAAGAGGCACCTCGAATATTCACAAACATCCATCAGTGACTGACAGGGTCAGAGACGAGACACTGTCACAAAGAATCCCCCACCACACACACAAACCCTCTCATACACAGCATATCACACACTTGTTTAATTCATTTTGCTGATGGAGTTTTCTTTCATCATAATTTTTCTATAATCTCTTTCTCTGAGGTCTGCGGCAGAGTGTGCGATGTAGTTGCAGTCTGTGATCGTGTGTGTGTGTGTGTGTGTCTGTGCGTGCGTGCAAACAGCAGGTCACTGTTAAATTAAATTCATGATGAAGGCTTTAGGGGAAAAAATTAGGATAAATCTGTAGAAAATGAATGTAAGTTAGTGTAATGTGCTGAGAGCTGATGCAAAAATGAACATGTTTCTCTGCGTGACTGTGAGGCTGCATATCCGTAAACTTGTTAGGCTGAGGGTTGTGGCTTGGGGCCCGGGCGTGGGTGTGAGTGTGTGTGTGTGTGTGTGTATGTGTGTGTGTGTATGAGAGCCCTGACAGAACTAGATCATTGATTGTGCTTCTTTTTTTAATCTAAAATGTTTGATTAATATTTCTGCGTTATACAGCAAAAGCAAATATCGTTAATAAAGAATGTAGGATAATGGATTTAATACAATCAGGGTAATATTGGGGAGTGTTTTTCTGGTCTGTCATGGAAACAAATTAGCCAGTTCATGTATTGCAAGGAAGTAGTGGTACTTTTTTTTCCCTTTCTTGTTATCTGGGCCTCTTCCCTCTACAATATCGGTGGTTGGTGGGTACATGCACTAACTGAAGACCTAATTTATTCAAATGAAAGTCAGATATTTAAAAAACAATTACACATCTAAACACACACTTTTGCAAGAAAAAAAAGGCACAAAGAATACCCTCCGCATCTGCACATGGACATCAATATGAGCTTCCTGTAACTCTGAACAGCCATCTTGTACTTCTTTGAATACATCTGTTTTTTTTTGTTTACCGGAAGTGCGATGTGATCAAAAGAAGTAAATAAAAAAAATAATAAATAAAACACAAATTAATGATACAGCCCTTTCTTAAATTTCATAATGTGGATGGAAAAAAACTAGAGGTATGAGAGAAGACACTTAACTGCCTTATTCAACTAGAATCAGTACAACGGCTTGTTGAGATGTTATGTGGGGCTTTTTCAAGCTATTTCTCTCCCTTACATTTTCAGAAACATTATTAACAGTGAGTGTATCAATCATATTCATCAAACCGCATGTTCATTTTTCTGAGGTGGTACAAACTCTATTGTGTATGTACCTCATAAATGAACACCTGAACGATAGATATGAGCTGCGCGGTAAGGGGTAGTTGTCTTTGAACCTGAGGATGCTATTTCTCTCACCAGCATGCTTACTCCATGTGTGCTGTTGTATTGAGTGGGGGTGGGGGGTGGGGGGGATCACTGCAGTAGCCCCTGCATTTGGAAACCTCTATAAGAAAAGAGGAACAGAGTTAGAGGAACACACTCCTGCTCACTGGTTTAAAGCCCCCTCGGCTTTTTATTCTTTATGAAATCCCTCTCGACATACTGTAATCAACCCGGCTTTGAAAAGTAAGAAAAATGCACATACTGACTTTCACTTCACTTTGTGATGTATCACACCTCCTGCCAGAGCACCACAGAGACACAAAGGCAGGAACTACTGAGGTCCAGAGACTGTCCCTCTTTTTTCATGTTGTTCATGCAGAAATAGCCTTTAGTTCATCCAAAGAATGTGCAGCCTGTGGTGTTCATGAGAAACAGAATCCATTAATGTGATGTTGCATTGTCAGAATAATTACAATAGTTCCAACATCTTGATTTTTTCATCCGAACCAAAACATCTTGAATTCTAACCCTTGTTATGTTCTAATCTGCAGTATACCAAGTCAGCAAGTTTTGCTAGCATCTTTCCAAGTTTATTTGCTATTAAGGAAAGGGCAGCCTTTGTGTAGGTATGTTCATGTATTGACACCAGAGAAGGAAATGAGAAGCATGGCATCCACAGTCTCATTGACATGTAAAACATTGAATCTCAGTGAAAGGTCCCTGCTATTTTTAACAATGACCACAAGTCTATCAAGCATCCAACAGCCTCTTTACCAGATTTTTCTCTTTTTCACTTTCTGGCAGACGTACTGATAATACAAATTAGACACAATAGACATTGTTTTCAATAGAAGTTTGGACCAAACCATCAACTAACAGCAGACTAGACTTTCTTACAGCCTTGGTTAGTACATAGGATTTTTACATATTGAGGATTCTCAACATTAATTTCTGTGAAAATTGTGATCTACCAAATGGCTGAGCAGGATGTTAGTTAAATTTATACCATTCCTGTTTAGCACAGCTAAGTTATTCAGAATTATGCTGAAATTATGCTGTCAAATTGACAGCATAATGATTACACAAAATGAAACTGCTCTGGTTTCATCATTCTGTCATTAGCGCTTTGAAACGTGCATCAGTATCTGCTGTAATATGAAAGCATTATCATCTATGCATTCATATGCATAGATGATACCAAAAACTGTTTTTATGAAGGCTTGGAATAGGACACATGGTACCTGATGGACTTTAAAAGCGAGGGATAGCAAAGCACTGCATGTAACGAAAACACTGCCTCTGCTTTGTTCCAGTGTCACTCTGTGCCCCACCAAGTCTGCCTTTTTCCGGCTGACATTTGTCTCGTGAGCGTCTTGTCTCAACAAAGTCAGTTGACGTTTAAGACTAGTGGTTTCCGCAGTCATGATATCAATCAAACATGTTATTTGATGTTTTAATCAAACATAACGGCATCAGAGAATCAGTGTTGATGCCTCTTTGTGATGTGGAACATATGCATGATAAATGGGGTGAGAAGCCTTACTTCACAGTTTGGATAACAAAAAAAACAATTACATGCTTAGCTGCTGAAGTGGTTTGTAGTTTTCCTTATGCTGGTGATTACACATTAACACAACTTAATTTTATGATTTAAAGAAGGATTAATTGATAGTGCAACTATTTCATTTGTGATCATGAAGAGTCAATATTCCATTGCCTGCACATATTTGTGACTTGATTTCTTTCACTGAAGGTGAGACGTGTGTCTCAGTTCTAACCTTAGCAAAACAGCGACTAACCACTTCCTTCTCTCAGCACCTCCTCCGCTTGAACATGAGAAGCAGATGATGAAGTTCCAGTCTAACTCGGGCTGTCCGATGGTCATCATGTTCAGCCTGAACAGAGCAGCTGTGTTCTTCATGCAGCTGTTCCACATGAGGATGGTGTTTGCAGGTACAGAGCAGATTGTTTGTGTTGCATGTGTTTATCTATTCTGAAGCTAACTAAGAAGCTGACTTATCATTCTTTGATCTTTTGCTTCAAATATTAGCAACTTCAATAGATTACTCAAGGAATATGCTGGCGTTCAGAGGAAGCACGGTCGTCCTCACATGCAACATATCCAAGTCAAACCAGACAAAAATCAGCTGGACTAATGGCAGATTTAAGTTTGCACGTAACAATCTCGATACTCCACCTTCATCTAACTTCTCCACTAAAAGAGTGAGAATAGACCCAGAAATGCCAACAAATCTAACTATTTTTCATGCTCATGATGATGATGAAGGAATTTATAAATGTGAGATCACTGACAGTGGAGGCGTCAATTCTATTACATGGAATGTAACTGTGTCTGAGAATCATGAAGGTAAGTGTAGCAAAAATTCTGACCCGTTGGATCATTGTCAAACTGCACGCTATGTAAAATAATTAGTTGCTATTTATTCTTTCACAGGAAGTTTTTTATCGAAGAATATTGAACTTATACTGCCACCTGCTGCTGGACTGTTTCTGTGCTGCCTAACATCAGCAGTCTGCTTCTGCTTTTGTAGGTGAGTGATACCTTTCAGCTTAACGTCCACAAATATGAACAGCCAAATCTGTTTTGTTCTTAGTTTCAGGTTTCATTTTAGATTTCTGCAGGTAAATCCTTCAAGATCCAGACAAAATTTGTACATACATTTTCTCTGGGTTATCTTTTATGCTTCACTCTGGATGTTTAAAAAAACAAACAACAATTATGCCAAATGTTTTAAATGTTTTAAATAAATTATAGATAAATTCTAATCGAAGGACGTCTGAGTTTTAAACATGTGAATTTGACCCTTTTTGGTGGAGCTATATTCGAAAACCCCAACAGAAATAAAAAAAAAGTGAAAACCTGAAGGAAATGACCACATTGGGTATTTCTAAATAAAGGTTAGGGTCGACACAAACCATTTTGTTGAAGTTATTCTCAGAATTGAATGGCTCTGTGTCTTCACTTCCTGCCCTTGAAAAAAGAATCACATGTGTGCGTTGCACAGTGGTCTGTGTCTACGATGAATTCTGACATATATATAGAATAAATAAATAAACAATTGATGCAAATGTAACTTTATTTTCACCTTAACATTGACATGTATATATATATAGTTAAGAGTCAATACATGTCAAAATATTCACCTACATGACCACTTTTCTTATTTTGTGTTGAGTTCTCATAGTTCTGTTTGTGCTAAGGTGATGCAAGTTCTGTCCAGTTCTGTGAATTCAAACTTTGTGCAAAATGCGAGTAACAGTGTAATTCTATATAATGTTGATGCAAATCAAAGAAAAATAAAGACTTGCTCAGGACATTTTGTATATAGCTTTTTTTGTTTAGCATGTGTCATTGGCAGATACCAAGTCATTTCCTGCGTTTCTTGCTAGGCAGATCTTATCATTTAAAGCAGTGCAGCTACAGGGGCAGAGAACCCAATGACCAGAACTAATAACAGCATAACTTCAACTGTAAGGCAAAATTCAGAAAAGGATTTATTTTAGTTTCATATGCGTGTTGTGATTATTGAATACATCATTGTGACGCGTGATGGATAAACAAAGGAGCTGTGTTGCAAATTGATTATAATTCCAATAAGATAATATTTAGATAATTTCTTCTTTTCTAAAGGAGTTGCTATGACCCAACGGAAGTCTCAATGACAAAGTAAAGACTGAATTATAAAGATTTCACTGCCTTATTCCTGCAGAAAATACAAAACCAGAAGACTACGTCAGCCTGAGACAGAAGGAGAGGTCAGAAGAACTTTTTAATCCATTCTACTGCTTACCTTTCTTTCTTAGAGGCTGACCTGAACATGTCTTCCTCTACTTCCTCCTTCTCTGACACTTTCATCCACTCAGTATTACCATTTGTGAACATACTTTTGTGGCGCCAAAACAGAGTGTGTGAACCACATTTTGTTTTGACAAACGTCCTGTAAACCTTCATCTGTGTTGACACCAACATAGAGCAGAATCCTCTTTATGGTCATTTCTGACTTTGTCCCTTATCTATTCACTTTGGCCTAGTTAGAGCCAACCAGCCTCTAACTGTGACACTATCTTTACTCTGTAGGTGATGTCTTCTCAACTGCAAGATGGCTCTGATCACTGGAGGAACCGCAAGCATAGATCACAGTACATGGAGAGGCTGAATTCAATTTATGGTGATCCTTGAACTGAGACGTTAAAAAAGATCACATTTAAAGGAAAAGCATTAATGCGTTGACACAACACAACACAGTAACACAAATGTCCTTTTGTCAAAGCACATTGGATTTTTACAGATATGTAGCAAGTGGAAAATGGTCCTAATGCAAATGTACTTTGTGACATTTTGGGGTATTTTTTCATCCTTACGTCCTCATCAACAGTATTTATAAATAATGATAGTTGTAATGACTGTTCAGTGATTCAAACTGAATAAGGAGGCAAAGACTTAGGTTAGTCTGGCAGTTTGATTTGAGGTTTGTCCAGCAGAGGGCATGTGTGGCTCACTTTGCTGCTGTCACACAGTCTGTCTAAGAACCAGGAGCTTTGTTGTTGTTGGACTGTGGGGGAAATCCAGAGTAACTGGAGAACACATACAGAAGGACAACAAGCAAAGTCCACTCAGAAAGACCGCCAACCAAGGGGATTTGAACCTGGAGCTCCTCTGGCTGTGAGGCACATGTCCAAACCCTCACACCACGGTGCAGCCCCCAGGTTCTGATATTCTCCCTTTAATGTACTTATGTCTACAATAAATGTTGTTGAATAAAAGAAGTTGGTCTGCTCATCAATTTTGGAACAAAAACACATGCATATAATTTGGGTAAATTGTGTCGATATCTGTATTTCAGTGCCCAATAGTTGGTAAAAGGGCAATAAATGACATGGAGAAGTAGAATTTATTAAGGGCCTGCCCGCGCTGAACATTCACTCTTTAGCTTTGTAGCTCTGTAGCAAATTAGATTCTCAATCAGACCACGTAACAAAAACACATATTAAAATAGCCTTTCCTCAAACCGCAGTGTGTGCAGTGTTAAAAAGATAACACAAAATTAAACGTAAAAATGCACACAAAAATCAATATAAATTTTTCTTTTTCATGCGGCTGACCAATAAGGCCTGTTTGAAAAAAGCAAATGAACAAAAATAGGATAAATTTGTCTTGCAAATTATGCGTAGGGTTAAGATACTGTTCTACTCCCCACCTGTTGGCAGATAAAATCTATTTCCCTTAAGGGTATATAACTTGTTCTTTTTTTTTTTCGTATGACTTCTGTCTCCAGTTTAACCTCGCTGAAGCATAACATGGTTGCCATTGTTAAATCAACTAATTGATGCCAGCCACAAAAAGATTTTAGGATTCATTACTTTTTTTATGGCAATCACTGGGATCTATTGAACTGCCACCTGCCACGAGTACACTGGTTGTCTGTTTTTGAGTGTTTTTCCTGAGCCATGTGTTGGTCAGTGATGGATGCACTGGCCCACGGCCAGCCCCGCTCCAGTGACCAGGAGCCAGCAGAGAGGCCAGATGTTAAAGTTAGGGTGCATTTATTCCTGCAGTGTTTCTTCTGCCGTTAAAACAATGTATTTTCTGTTAATTCATTACCTAAAGGATTGAGAAAAATTGGTTCAGCCAGCATGTTTTTTTTTCACATATTCCATTGCTGAACTTAATGCCTGCACATATTTGTGACTTGATTTCTTTCACTGAAGGTGAGACGTGTGTGTCAGTTCTAACCTTAGCAAAACAGCAACTAACCACTTCCTTCTCTCTGCACCTCCTCCGCTTGAACATGAAAAGCAGATGATGAAGTTCCAGTCTAACTCGGGCTGTCTGATGGTCATCATGTTCAGCCTGAACAGAGCAGCTGTGTTCTTCATGCAGCTGTTCCACATGAGGATGGTGTTTGCAGGTACAGAGCAGATTGTTTGTGTTGCATGTGTTTATCTATTCTGAAGAAGCTAACTTATCATTCTTTGATCTTTTGCTTAAAATATCAGGAACTTCAATACATGAGTCTAGGAATATGCTGGCGATCAGAGGAAGCCCGGTCGTCCTCACATGCAACATATCCAAGTCAAACCAGACAAAAATCAGCTGGACTAATGGTAGATTTAAGTTTGTACGTGGCAATCTGGATACTCCACCTTCATCTAACTTCTCCACTAAAAGAGTGAGAATAGACCCAGAAATGCCAACAAATCTAACTATTTTATATGCTCATGATGATGATGAAGGAATTTATAAATGTGAGATCACTGACAGAGAAGTCGTAAATTCTATTACATGGAATGTAACTGTGTCTGAGAATCATGAAGGTATGTAAAGAAAAAAACTATGCCCTGTTGTGTAATTGTCAAACTGCACTATATGAAAAGTAATTAGTTGCTATTTTTTTCTCTCACAGGAATTGTTTTATCAAAGTATATCAGGTTCTTCTGGCCGGTTGCTGTCGGATTGCTTCTATGTTGCATCACATCAGCAGTCTTCTTCTACATGTGAGTAACATGTTTCTGTTTCTAATTCCCAGGTGAGACAGAGACATTTCTATACAATGTAGAGGGGCAGTCAGCGCTCAGGTGGCTTGTACTTTTGAAAAATGTTACAACTAGTGAAAACTAGTGAGAAAACATAAGATTCAAACAGTTTTAGTTAATTGGTTTCACATAGAATTTTTTTTGTTTGTTATTGGTCAGTTAAATTACATATTCTTTTCTTCAAACATCCAAAACAAGCTGAGTTTGAAACTACATGAAAACAAAGTTTATAAAAAAAATTGAACTGCATTTTTTTCCCGTTGTAAAGAAGAATAACAGCAATCAGCGAAAAATGATTTATGCATTAAAGGAGTAAAGTTGGAAGTTTCTCACTATCGACCCTTATTGCCATTATAGTGATCATTTTAATAATTATTCAAAAGACTCTCAGAGCTATCACAACTTATGCTTGTAAAGAAAGGTTTATACTGACTCAGTAGGTGGTCGTGTTGTTTCTGACCACGTTTCCATCAGGTGCTCTCACATCAACATGAACATTTTTATCATCAATGCCATTTTTGCCATGCAGTTATAAATTCAATGCAAATGTATTTTATGAAAACATTTTCAGTTAAGTTCTGCACAAAGCATTAAAATCACAAGTTTGACCTTACTCAGCTAATTCTTTTCTGCTAAACACTTTGAAACAGCGGAAAGTGGTTTGTACAGAGTGTGTTCTTCTCTTTGCTCTTAGGGTGAGACTTTTGCCATTTATGGTGTTTCCATGAGAGGCAGTGGAACCCACTATGGTTTGATTAATAATCATTACATAAGAAAATAATATATAATTAAACAAGTAAGAAAACATTGAAATGGGTTAAAATGCTTGTGGGGTGAATAAGTGAGAGGCAGCTGAATCTTAATTGTAAAAATGATCTAATAAACATTGAAGCAGGGTATGAGTGTAGGAAGCTCTGAACATATGTGGCTTTTAACACTTTAACAGTAACTTTTAACAGTAATACACAACAGTATTACTTTGCTAGTTTTACGAAAAAATGTCACAGTTACCATCAAGCTAAAAATTAAATACATAAATACATACCTGTTACCCAGACTTATCGGATCCTTCCCAACAACTGAGATCTACAGATTCAGCATAATTCACAGCTAAAAGTGTGTTACCACTTAAACAGTAAAATATGTGATACCATCTGCTGCCTGATTTATTTACAAAAGCATTTGAATAGAAATTGAGGGTGTTGTAGAGTGTAATTTTTGGTTGCAATTCTATGTTACCAGGAAACTTTGTAAAACAACCAAGAACCAGGACTTCCAGGAAGGCAGAACTCAGAGCTGTGCTGTGTATCGAGTTCGGCAAGGCGTAGAGGTGTGAGGACCTTTGAGTCTTTGACTCTTTTTTGCTACGTATTTCTGTGCACTCCAAGTTTCCATAAATTTTCTCTTCTGTTGTTTCTACTCTCAAACTTGGATTAAGTTTATTTTACTTTTCATGCCGATCAGGTGGACCCTTCACAACCCAAAGGTTTTGCCATTTGGAGAGTAACTGATGAGACCAAAGACTCTTCTATGTGAAAACGTCAGGTCTCTGTGGTTTTCTGAGCCGACATGGTAAACGAGAAACAAAAGAACATGAAAGTAACAGAGGATATATTGTGAGAACTGAAGCCATCGGATAGAAACAGCTCATTATTAGAATCCGTACTGAGATTATATGAAGAAACTCTTACAATTCTTACAAATTGATTGTTCCATATAAAAATATTACATTTTTAAAAAAGTCATGCCGTTACTCTTTGTCGATTGATTTGTTTTGAACATTTTACAGGATTTTGTATTTACTTAAGTTTTTTATTAAAGTTTCTTTGTTACTAGCATGATTTGAAATGTGTTGTGCTTTCTTTTACTTTAATACCACCTCTGTTATCTGTCAGGAAACTGTTGAGACACCTGTATAGTACTACGTAATGAGTCTCAGATCTACTTCAGATAAATTCTTTCTCGAATTGATAAACAAAAGCTGTTCAAATCTAATTCAAGCTTAATTCTCCCTTAAAGTCACTGATTTACAATCAGTGATTTAGAAATGTTCTTAGCTTAAAAATAAAACTGTATAAAACAATTAAGATAATTGGCCAGAGCTGTTAAGAGAATTGGAAAACAACAAGATCCCTTGATTTAGAAAATGTCTGTATGATGTAGTTGACACACAATCAAGAAACTTTGAACAGATATTTCTGCATTACCGAACAAGCCATGTTTGGCACATAATGGACGCTGATGTTGACTTCCTATTCGTAAATAAAAGGTATAAAATGGGATATAAAGGGTGATTTCACTTCTTTTTTACATACTGACACACATTAGAAAAGAGATCATATGAAAACAACAACATGGACTAAAATGTTGTGGGACATAGATTTACACACCATGCCACTGAGAATTAAGAACATAAAATGTTATATGACAACAGGGCTATAGCAATAGCCTGACTTATTTAGAAAGTATTTGAAAAAGCGGTAAAGGATGAGCTTTTAAAAACTGTTTTAATATGGTCCTTCTCCAATTTTTCTTGAGACTCAGTCAAGTGTGTAACTGTTAAGTGTGAAGCAGATGCCTCAAAGTATTCTAAGTACGCGTGTGGTGCAATTTGATTGGGTTATCATTACATTTCTGTGGTATATTTTTACCATCCATTGCTCTGCTTTGAATCAAATCAGTCCTATATCTAGACGGTACCACCTAGAACTGAATTTATCATGGATCCTGGCCCAATATGTTAGAATTTGAGGATATTAAATGACAGATTTCAGCATGAAAGGGTTAATGGTGTTTTGTCTAATTTCTTAATCGGTTCCATCAGATCCCCACAGTTGCTAATTTTCTCGCTGTTTAATTATGCTGGATACACATTTCTGCTGAAGCTATAAAATAAGCCTACAACACTGTCAATGTGTTTTGGTCATAAGTGGAACAAATAGCTTATTGATTGTAGACTTCCAAACACTCATATCAGATCAGGAATGCTATGTTTGCCTTAAAGTCGGGTACATTCTAAATTTCTTAAGCACTAACTGACTTTTTTTTTTTTGCAATCTATTTTAAGTTGACTTTTGGTTGTCGAAATGACTGAGGACCAAACCGGAAAAGCTTTTAAGGGGGTTAAAGGGGGCTTTCTGATCAAGGAAATGTACACATGCACAATGTATTCCGATGGTTAAAGAACAAAAACCACAAACGTTGTAACTCATTCTACACTCATCCTGGTGTTCTGCCCATTTAGGTCTTTCAATAGTGGCATAATGACTTTCTCCCACTAGTCTTTCAAACAAACAGATGCTGTTCCAGACTACAAAGGAAGGAGCAGTCTTTGGAAAAAATCCAATCCATCTCTGAACAATCACAGTTTTTGTCTTGCAGGACTGTTAAACACTTCTCACTTTCAACGTACTGAATGTGTTTTGTTGTTGGTCTGGGTGGACCTCTGATGGACTGCTGACCTGTCCAGGGTGCAGCCTGCCTCTTGGCTCCAGGCCTCTGAATGATGGCTGAATTCATTTTGAACAGTAAGTCTGTAAATTGAAATTATCCTAAGAAAATAATTTGTTCTGTCAGCCTATACTTGTAATGGAACACTTAAATGCAAGCTACCAAGATGCCCGTTTACATGCGCGCACTTGTTTGCTGCAAGGAAACATTCTATCTGGCCAAGTGGAGATAAAGTTTTACTTTACCTAAATGTGTTTGCTACATGCATAAATGCAAGTCTAAACAAATCATCTCCATTTCCCCAATTCTTGTTAAAAAGAAGCTTAGTGTTCCCCTCAATGCAGATTAAAAACATCCCTCCATCTCACCACAAACTGGATTTTTACTTCTGGAAGCTGTTAATACTTGAGAAATATGATTCATGTTAAAAGAAAGCTGCTTTCTTCCACAGGACAATTTAATTGCTGATAAAAAATGCTTTAAAAATTTAAAATACAATACGATTTTATGTATTTAAAAAAAGTTTTTTTTTAAAAAGACAATGAATAAAGTAAAATCAGAAAATACATACCGGTATTCTTTAGTTATATTTTCACAGAGAAAAAACTATGGGCATTTTTTCATAGAGAGTAAGGGCAGATCTTTACAGAGATAACCTCAAAATCCAGTCTAATATTTCAAAAGTAAAGACCCTAAAATTGGTATATTAGCACAAACATATAATTTACTTTCAAAAGCATGTTCCAAATAAAACTCTTTTCTTTCACAATTTCATTTTACGTTAGCAGACCTCTTTAAATCATCCATTTTCACCCTGATTATAAGCAGAGCCCATCCATCCATCCATCCATCCATCCATCCATCCATCCATCCATCCA